AGATGGCCCTTCTTTTGCCACATGCATGAAAACTCTTTTACTTACTAATAAGGGTTTGGATGTATTAAGCTTATTTAATTCTACTTTAGTATCAAAATTTTGAATTCAACTACAAGAAAAGTTAAGATTATGAGAAAACAAATTTATTTAAGGATTATATTTTTTTAACCACAATAATCCTAAATAACTAGATTGGATGGAAATCTTATCACATTAAATATTACAACATTAATATGATCTTTAATTACTACATCTAAAAAAATAATCTCATGAGTAACATCTCCAAAAGACAATAAAAAACCATCTATAAGTAAAGAAGACAATAAATGACCATCTATGACTACAGAAGATAATAAATGACCATAAATTCCAAGTTTTCAATACAAACTCTAACTTCCAATAATAAGTGCAAAGTCCTTATAAATCCTAAAAAAACAATTCTTATATATTTGAAAAGATCTTGAAGCTAGATCTTTAATCCTTATCACCAATCTTCCAAATCTTCCATACTTTGCTCTAGGTCGTCGTTTTTGTGACTAGAGGTCTGATTTCGACCCTGTCCCACAAATGGTCGACCTCCGGGTATCAATCTAACCTATCCTAAGGATTTTGTAGCTTGATCTTATCTTCAACTTAATCCTTATATCAACTATATCAACCATTTATCTTTTCTACTATGATTTTATCAATCTATGGCCTTTTTAAGATAGTAAAAGAGTTTCTATATCCTAAAAGGTAAAAATATTAACTAACTTTTATCTATTTGCTATTAAGACAAAAAAAAATAGGATAAGAGGCTTTCATAAAAGCTTTATTAAAATAAGTTGAATTTTTGTTGAATTAAGATAATAGAGTATTAATTAAAAATTATTTTTAGTCATATTTTCACCATATAATTATGTTACAATATGACAACATCAAATCTTTTTTTGCTCAATGAAGAGTTTAAAATGTAAAATATTAATTTTCATTAGTTTTGGCCTTGATGAATAAGTTTTTAAAAACTTAGAAGTTGCCATTATTACTTAGCTTATTCCTTTACAATTAAGTCTTTATTTTTGATGCCTTTCAAGTAATCAATTGTCATATGTAATAGCTTCAGCAGTAAATTATTCAAAAGATTTTTTTTTTAACATTATCAATAACAAATCTTCGATGTTATCCTTCAACTCATATCAAAATTGATCAAAGAAGGCTTTGTCATTCCAATCTATGTTACATGCAAGGTTTTGGAATTTAGCAGCATAGGTGATAGTCGATTGTGATCTTTGTCATAAAGATAAGAACTTGATCTATGCTACTCTTTTTCAATTACTTTCTTCAAATGTGGCTATAAACACCTCTAAGAATGAATTCAAATCACAAAGAAGTTGTGAATTCTTTTCCATCAAAGGTGCAAATTAAGACAAAGCATTTCTAGATAGAAGTTTATTTGTAAATCCAACTTGAGTAAATCCATCAAGTTATTAGAAGTGATGAAATTTTAGATAGAACTTGATTTGTTGCAAAAATCCTTAAAATCTTGATCTTATTCCATCAAATTTCTCAAGCATACTAATCTTTGTCTCTATCATACTTGTAGAAGCAAATCTTCTTGGATTTGGTTATGATATTGATTTACTTTCTTTCTTCAATTATACAAGTTCTTAATATAGATTCTAGACTTTTTTTATAGGTATAAGATTAGTATTTCTATATTTGGTATTTATGATGAATAAAAATTTTATCCTAAGAATATTGAAAAGTTCTTAAACATTAGCAATAGTTTCAAATTTATTCTCTTTTTTGCCAAGTGAAGCATCCATAAGTTAGATTAGAGGAAAATAAGCAACAATCTCTAATATCAAATGAAAATTTCCACAAAGAAGGATAATCCTTCTTTTTTAAAGAAGATATGAGTATTTAAATAAATAAATAACTTATTTAAAAGTAGATGATTTACAACCTTCAAAATATAACAATAGAAGTGAGGTAATTCACTCACTTCTAAAATAAGATAAGAACAATAAGTTTTTACTCTTGTCAAACTATTAAAGATATGAAATTTAAAGAAAGTAACCCTAAATACACTCTTATGTTATTCAAAAAAATTAAAAATTCCATCAAAGATGATATAGTATTAAACTAGAATGGCTATTGTCAAAGACAAGAAGATTAGAAAGTCTTGAAACAAGACTAAAGACTAGAAAGGAGTTGATAAGAGTGAAGAAGGCTTCACTTTTGCCTCCATATATACTCTTAACTAGGAGCTACATAGTGATATCATATAAGACCTTCAAAACGTGTTGACTTTGCAAGATATATATCCTAATTTGGAAAGTAAGTTTTTTATATGTATGCTACATAATTAGCTTCTTCGACAAACTGCCAACACATGGTGAACTTATTAACCAAGTTTTTATCCTACCAATTAACTACAAATATATGTAAAGTCAAAGCAATGTCTATGAAGCTTCTAAAGAGCTACTTTAGAAAATTTTATGAAATAAATCTATTTTTATTTACTTCTACTTTAATATATAAGTAAATCTTAGAATAAATATGTATGCTCACAACACATTGTTCAAATTTATATAAAACATTGGATATAATTTGGATTTATAATATTGGATTGATGTTATGTTTAGCCTAACTTAATGTTAATTTGACAGCTTGATTTAGTTTTGGAGCATTAATAGTAGCAATATCTCTTTTATGTACTTAATTTATACATGTATGTATAATCAATTATGTAGTAGGGCTTAGAAGTATTGATGATCCTATGAACTTTGGGCCTCTAAGTAGAAGATTGAATAGAAAAATTGCATGCTTAAGGCAATTGATAGCAAAAAGCTCATTGAGCAAGTCAACACAAGGTGTTGACTTTTGAAAAGAAGAAGACTTTATTAAAGTGATACATAGTAAATCAAACTAAAATACATACTTTTTTTTATTAATTTATTTAATTATAAATAAAAATAAAAATAAAAAACCACCATTCATCTTTTTAAAGACATCTACATATTGCAATTTTTGGAAGATATCATTGTCTATTTAAAATTGTGATATACTATATTATATGCAATATTTAGCTCTTTTATTTTTCTTGGATTTGAGAAAGTGTTAAATTGCTTTTGTAGCACTCTCAAATACAAGAAAAATATCTTATTGCATAGTACTATAGTCTAAAGTAAGGACAAGTGGTCAAAATCATACAAATTAATAAAAGTACATGTCATTTTATCACTTATCAACTTATCCTAATATTCATCCATCTAAGATTTTTGTTGGAAATTTATAATATGCCTATAATTCACAAATTCTTATCATTGTCTTTATTGTGGTTTTCTAAACTTATTTTTAGTACTCCAAAAAATAATTCCTTCTAGAATTTTCAAGTCTTGATGCTGCATTGCACAAGCTGAGTAGTATAGATGCAACTCAAATTGAAGATTTTAAGTATTAGATGTTGTATTGTAAAGAGTGTCTAAATTACATTCAATTTTGTTTAGTATCACTACTATTGTGAACAACGATGTGACAAACAATTCATAAGGAAATGGTAAAATATGTTTAATATAACATCCAAGAACAAGTCCCCATAATTAATCCAATTGCTTTACTAATGATGTTTATTATATCATATTGCATCTTGATAATTTATTTTTTAATTTTATATTCACATGGATACTATTAGAATCAAATAATGATATATTTTTTTATCATTCATATAAGAGATGGATCAAAATAACGTTTGGTGGGATTGATTTAATATTCCTTATTCCTTAATTCATGTATCTAACATCTTTATATAAATCAAAAATTTATGTAAAATTTAAAAAAATAACCTTAATAATCTAACATTGATAGATTATCAACTGCAATAACAAAAAAATAAGTTATAACAACCTAACTTTTTCTTAAGAATTGTCTCCTATTTTATTAATAATAACTTCAAGTAGAAGATTGATGCTACCATCGTTCACTATTTTGCAAATAATTTAGTCCACTATTTCTACATCTATTTTCTATGACCCCAATCTCTTGCTTAGTCCAATATTCAAACATGCAAACACATGCCAAAATAGAAATTCACAGCTCCACACATGACTACCAAAGATAAAACATTTGAATCAAGGAAAAATGTATTTGTCTTAAACGACACTCATCCATATTCAGCGGGAAAAGCGGAGATGCGAACTCGAAGCCGCTTCCATTTTCCGACAAAGGGGAAAATACCGACAACGAAAAGAACGAGGAATAATGAATTCGGTGGTGGGCTCATCTGAACGACGCCATGCGGACCAGATCTCCTTCGTCACGACCAGGGCTCAGTCAACATCCCGCCTCGGGATAGCCCCTCCCACAGAGCACGGGCGATGGCCAGTGCAGCCCTAGGGTTGCCCTGAACTTGGCTTGTACCCCAAACCACCATAAATGATGCTGAAATGGCACAGCTACCAGAATTGTTACTTTGACAGTTGCTAACACGAGGGAACTGGAGTGAGATCCCTGCTCCTTTGCCACAATTTTCCATGCTTGATATTTCCCCCCATACCACCGATTGTCGGCATTTCATACAAGTCTGTACCAGTCGTTGTCGATTTCCATGAAATACCACCAAATAGATTACCACGTGGTATCTTTACTTTTTCATTCGAAACCCGTTTTTTGGCTTGCCCCGGGAGCCATCACATGAATAAATTTCGCCATCGGCACCACTGCTAGCAACCCACTAAGTATGCAGCGTGTTACGACGATACTGGGGTGGATTGGGATTGGTGGTGTAGTGCTTGGCATGAAGACACGGTGCTCGTAGTTGTGGTTAGTTTGTTGCGATCGAGATGTGTAGTGTTTAGTTTGACACAAATCTTGTCAGTTTGCCCAGATACTGTGAGCGTGCTTGGCCCCCCATCGAGATCGCTGTTCATGCAGTTCCAACCGTGGCGGAAGGATATTGTGTTTTGTTGAGCTGTTGCAGAAGCGGAGAATTCTAAGAGTGGGCACTGCCGGTTCCAGTCATGGATCCCATGGTGTCTGCAACGTGGATCAACGCCATTGCCTCTGCACTCTTGGTAGTTTTAGCTTCTGGATTCTTCGTGGCTGTGGGAGCTTACAAGTTTGGCAAAGCTGAAGCGAGGATTTCAAGCCGGAGCTCCTCTTCCTCCTCCTCCCGATGCTATGGCATGCGATGCGATGCACCTTGGCCAAGCCCCCCCACTCCACCCACTGCCATAGCGGAAGTTCCGTCTGCCGATGCCAAGGACGAAAAGCAGTTGAGGGATAAAAAGGATGCACCTCAGCCCAAGGAAGAAAAGAAGCTGAAGAAGGAAAAGGATGACGAAAGTGAAGATTCAGATGCAGAGGCCTCCAGCGGAGAATCTGAACAAGTAAGCCTTTCTGAAGGGGAACAGAAGAAGAACAAGAAGGAGATGGAGAAGAAAGTGAAGAGTGATGACTGGGAGTGGCCCGTTTACGACGAATTTTGGAATAAAAACGCCTGCCGCATGAAGCGCAAGCTCCGAAAGCCTGAGAAGGTCGAAGTGACTGCTGCACCATTCGAGGTCACCTACGAGCAAGAACGGGGCTTGCCAGACCTCGTGACAGTCAAATTGCGTTCAAAGTATCTCATTCAAGTAGCAAAGAAATTCATGCCTGAGGACGAGAATCTTGCTGTTGAGCACCCACAGATTGAGGCGAAGGATATGTTCCATGCACTGAGTTCGTTCACGGAAGCCTATGAAACCAGTCTTGAGGATGGCAAATCGTTGGCTAAGTATCACTTGAAGCATTTGCTTCGATTCTTGAATTCGGAGTTTAAGGATACGGTCGCCCAGGTCTCGAGAGTGCACCGAGAGAAGAAAGTAAGCTGGAACATGCTCTGGGCGTTTTTCCCCAAGGGCCAGAGAGTATATTACACTTGTCAGTTGACTGGCCAGACGTTGCAAGGAATAGTTCGCTATAAGTACTATTACGTGACACCAGCTGGGAATAAATTCCGTGTTGATATCGAGGTGCGCGACTACAACAGCAAGAGATATACAAAATGCTACAAGAACATTAAGGTAGACAACTATAAGGGCGAGAAGTCCTTCGACACGATTGGAATATGTCCAATGGATCTTCTGAAGCCTGCAGAGGCAGCGGATATGGAATCCATGTTCCTGCACAACGGCAAAAAGTTTTACAACATCGCCAAGCAAGGTCATAGTTATCTGCAGTACCAAGGGTCTCGTCTACGGATGGAACTCGTCGGGAAATGCTGGCAATTGAAAAAGCAGAAGGCCGACGGACGAGTGATGGTAGATCTGATGAGCTTTGCAAGGATGAATCCTGCGTATCCACTCGATAACGCTTCTCCTCCCAAGACGTCTTGTTGTAGTAGTGAAGATGCCATATGCAGCGTAGAAGGAATGCCAAGCGATGAAGAGTTAATGCTTGCACCAGCTGTTGTCTATGGCTTCTCCTTTTCCAACAAGCTATGGGGTTGCTTCGACATCAATGGCTTTACTGACATCCAATTTGATGATCAAGCATTTGACCGCGACCTTGTTCTTTCAGACCCCTCCAGAAAAGAAATGCTGCTGGCGTTAGTGTCGCACTACTTGAGAAACGACGGTGTGGAAGATTTGCCTAAGCTCGATCCCATATCCAACAAAGGCGATGGCTGCATTTTCTTGTGCTATGGTCCGCCTGGCACCGGAAAGACGCTCACGGCCGAGTCCATGGCAGAGAAACTGCGTCGCCCGCTGTGGTCGATTAGCGTTTTCGAACTGGGCACAACTGCGCAAGAGTTGGAAACGCGCCTGGTCGAAAGTCTTGATATTGCGTCGCAATGGAATGCGGTTCTACTTTTGGACGAGGCCGACATCTACATGGAGAAACGCACTTCCAATGGCGACCCTAATCGAATTGCCATGACTGCCATCTTCTTGCGGCTGCTTGAGTACTACCGCGGCGTCCTCTTCCTCACCACCAATCGCGTCGCCTCCTTCGACGACGCGTTCTGCTCCCGCATCTCCATGTTCTTGCGCTACCATCGCCTCGCTGGTGCGCAAAAGGACGCAGTCTGGGCAAGCCTTCTTGGTCGCGCCGGCATCCAAAACCCCGACCTCACACAATTTAATGATTCGACGTTGAACGGCCGTGAGATTCGCAACACCATTCGCATCGCCCAGACGTGGGCCAAGGGCTCTGGCGTGGAGCTCACCACTGATCATGTCCTCCAAGTGGTGAAAATGCTTGGTGAGTTCCGCAGTGATCTGGAGGGCGCCATCAGCGAAGAACCGGAAGAGCGCTCATTCAGTAAAGCTCTTGCAAAAGTTAGAAGTCTGAAATCGAGCAACGGAGGACTGAATGGCAATTTTGTAAGTGTATCTGGGGGAGATCAGTCTAGTGAAGAAGCCTATTAACTAAACCGAACTTAATTTTTACGCGTCTGTGATCGACGAACGGACGTGGATTGTGGAAGGAGAAACTGTAGTTTGATAGCCCATGCCTGTGCCCTTTGAGGAAGGCCGGAAGTTTGTGTATAAATTTATATATGTGTTAACACGAAATGTCACGTGTATATTCGGCTCTCTAACGTATCCAATTTGTCATAATCCTTTTCGGTTTTATACTTCAAACAAGCGATTGCATGAGGTGCAGAACGTGATGTCAATCCATTATAAAATCAACTCATCCACGAAATCAGCAACGGAATTAGCCCTCACACCCAAGCAACTAAGGTGCAGAATGCTTTTCTGCCCATTGCAACCCCTCGGTCCTAATATTGTATTTTGATTTCGATTATGATCACCTGCGAACTGCGACATCATACGACAACTTCGAATGGAGGATGTGCAGTTCTATGCAAAATTGAAAGAATGTGATGACACTCGAACTCCAAAATTTGATAAATCCCTGCACGGATCGGCTTCTGAGACTGCACCTGTCAACATGGAAGATGTCGACACATTGGTGATCAACAGTGTCGTAGTTCACTGGTTTACATAGCAGGGCCGATATTTGTTCAATTTGCGGCAGATTGTATCAGTGTAATAGTCATTCTGTGGATGTTCCAAATCTTCATGTCACAACATCGACTCCATATATAAAACGAAGAAACTCTCTAACTTCACTGGAACTCGAAACCCGAATTAACCACGTGGTCGAAAATATGCTACTTACCGATTGACATAGAAACCCCGTACACCAATGGCGGGGGTTAGATGAGATCGTAGATAACTGGAAATTTCGCATGTCTGGACAGCTCAAGATGTGATACTTCGATGTGAAGGTAAATTGACGACACACCTGCCTGAGTAATCATTCTGAATGACTTGCGATAATGTGATAATCATGGTGACTTCCCCACGATTTATTTACACCCCATACAATCTGGACTCAAGTCACCTTACTAACGTAGTAACTAAGAACCCAAGAGTTGAAGCATTACACAACAGTGTCGCATCAAAATTCTATAACACTTGGGTATGCAGAATCGATCGCGCGATGGCATTGATCAAGCAGAATGTAGACGCATGCAGTAGAATATTCTCCACATACTATAAAGACAAAGCGACCAAATATCACTGATTATGATATCACCGTCTATTTGTGTTTCTTCTTTATAACAGTGCTAAATCCACTTGAATTTCGCCTACGAGATAGAACCCTTGCATGCCACCAGAACAATTTTTCCACAGCCTATTTGGACAGACTCGTCCAGATACTAAAAACACTTGAGAATAAACATTGATATTGACAGAGAAACCAGACTGCAAAAGGATCAGGTTAATGTATCAGGATAATTGTTTAAATTATACGCGGAGCGCAATTCATGAGCACTTGGGAGCACTGGAGAACATTTGCGACAACGCTATCCCCTGCTCAACAGGAGGGAAATCGAAAGAAAGAAAAAAAAAAAAAAAAAAAAAAAAAAAAAAAAAATCCATCTACATCCCAAATTTAAAAGAATGGTACAGTGCAACACCAAATCAGAATGGGCAAGCACTAGTTCTACAAAGCAATGGAATGAAAAGTACAGAGCTTAAGACTTCAATGGCTAGTACTCCTCTCCCTACTCAGACCTTGCTGCAAAGCGTTCAACCTTCTTGTCGCTGAGGTTGATGCCCACCATTGCTTCTCCAAGGTTCTCACTCACATCAGCAAGTACATGAGCGTCCCTGTAATGCGTCACAGCCTCCACGATGGCACGTGCCCGCTTCGCAGGATCGCCACTCTTGAAGATCCCAGAGCCAACAAAGACTCCATCGCATCCCAACTGCATCATGAGGGCTGCATCGGCGGGCGTGGCCACACCTCCAGCAGCGAAATTAACCACTGGGAGCCTTCCAAGCTGCTTGGTCTGCCTCACGAGTTCATAGGGTGCCTGAATTTCCTTAGCAAAAGTGAACACCTCATCATCGTCCAAACTCTGCAGCCTACGGATATCACCCAGCACCGACCTTGTGTGCCTGACGGCTTCCACGACATTTCCAGTACCAGCCTCTCCCTTAGTTCTGATCATAGCGGCACCCTCAGCAATACGCCTCAGGGCCTCTCCAAGGTTGCGGCATCCACACACGAATGGGATTCGGTAGTTGTGCTTGTTGATGTGGTTCACATCGTCTGCTGGCGTCAGCACTTCGCTCTCATCAATGTAATCCACGCCAATGGCTTCGAGGATTTGAGCCTCCACGAAGTGTCCTGTTCAATCCATCAACTAATAAAGTGAGAAACAGTCCACAAACACTATCCCTCTAATTCGTGTAATTTTCAAGCTTCTAAATACGGAGGGAAGGGATCACAATCTCAACCAAACTACACTTAGCATATCAATCAGAAGACGGGAACAAACAACTGTCTCAAATCGAAGAGTAGAATGTTCTAAAATTTAGTTCCAGTGAATAACAACAAATGAGCCACATTGGTCTAACGAGACAACAAGCTGCAGCCCAAAAATGAGCTGGACGACGCTTAAACCCTTGAGAGACCAAACACTCTCACAGCTCTTAAAAGAGGATATGGGGAGCCCAGGGCGACTACATAATTCACCACAGTATCAACACATCTGTAGGAAGAGAAGATAGAAACAAAATCCTGCACACAAAGCAACGCACCAATTCTGGCTTTAGCCATGACGGGAATGGTCACAGCCTTCTTGATCTCCTTGATCATGGAAGGGTCGCTCATGCGAGCCACACCGCCCTCGGCACGGATATCAGCTGGAACTCGCTCCAACGCCATCACTGCGACAGCTCCCGCCTCCTCGGCAATCCGAGCCTGGGCGGCGTCCACGACATCCATGATCACTCCACCACGCAGCATTTGTGCCAAGCCAACCTTCACCGCATAGGAGACTGTTTTCTTGTTCTGGTTCTCCGACAACCCGCTGCCATTGTTGTGGTACACCGCCACAACACCGTTCCCCTCCATCTCTCTTCCCCTCCTGGCGTGCAACCTACTGCTCCGAGCCCCACGAAATTGCTCGCCTCTCGACGAAAAATCACTCTCTCTCACACTCACTCACTCACGCGCGAACGTCCACAATTGCAAAACCCTGGCAGCGCTCTGTTGATCCCTCACGCTCTGATCTCACGAGAGCGTCCGTGGAGAAGCCCGCAGGGGAAATTGGGTATCGAAGCACGCCGTGAAGCGCTGGCAGGCAGCGCTACTGATCTGTTTAGCCGGGCAGCCGAGGGTTGCGATAAGTTGTCGCCGGCGACTGGGCACGGCGGCGGCGGTGGGGCAGCAGCGGCGAAGCGGGCACGGTGATGGGATAGGCTCGAGATGCATTCAATAATGGGGTCTTGGAGGTGAGACGGCCACATCACCCTAGTTGTTCCGGGGAAAATGTGCCCCAAGCACGTCCCCACGTTCCCTTGGCTCCCGAAAGCCGCGCACTCCATTGGTTCCCCATGGAACATCTCAACATCGACGGCCATTGCTTGTTATTACCCAGTTTAATTAAAAACTCGCACTAGTTTCGATATTCTGTGGGAGTAAGCTGGCCAAGTTTGGGAATCTTCTCGTGATGCAATTCTTCTTTGTCCTTTTGCCACACAATTTAATGACAATAGCAACTTCTGGAGAGAGAAGCTCTTCCATGTTCAGCTCACAAGAAAACATACAGAAATAAATAAGATGATATTAAGTTTTTTTCAACTTGATTTAATGTTGATGTGTGGACTTATAATGTATATAATATTAACTGCTGTGCCAAAACACTCAAACATGCTATCATATTGTTTCATGATACAATTGAGTGATTTTATCATTCTTGCATTTCTAAACATGCATCACATAATGTACTTCCTTCAATACAATGGTTTGAAAGTGTTAAATAAGTTGAATTCAATTAAGTCAATAATTAATAATAAATGTTGCTTCAAATGTTTATGAAGTTGAGAATTCCATAGTACAATTTTCTATAAGTAATAAGTAGATCACAGTCATGATTTGAAGTTTGGTTCTTTACACATGGATAGGTATGTATTTGAAAGTAGGTTACAATGCTAATCAAACCAAACAAAAATAGTTTATACTAGACTACACACACACAAAAAGTACATTTTGTGATGCATGTTTATAAATATTTGTTGTGTATCTACTCAACATACTTGAATTTCATTTAATGTCTCTTGTTGTATATGTTAACTTACACTTGAAACTAGCTTCAAACCTGTAAGTAAAACAATGTTTATATTCATTAATCTTTGTTTGCAATTCAAACATGTAAGTTGTAACATAAAGTAAAACAATATGCATCAACAGCTGTTCTTTGCGTATGACTGAGGTAATTTAAAGTATACAAATCTGAACATCATCCCATAACTAACATCATGCTGTTCCTTAAATGGATTCAAAAAATGAAAACAAAATAATAGAAATAATAATAATAATAATAACAAAAGATGAGAAAATGAATCAAAACATCTTTAAAGAAACCTTTCTATGCCAGCTTCAAAAATATAAGACTGGTTCTGCATTGCAAACACATTATCTGATTTTAATTTGTTCACATCTTTGCTTCTTAATATTTCTGTTATTAATGTTGTAAATTTTATTTACTGTTGTACCATGTAATTGACTGGTTTACCTTAAAAATTGCGAAACATGTTAAAGTATGGTAATAACCTATGTTATATTTATATTCACTCAACAAAGCACCAATACACGTTTGATTAGTTTATTTCAATTTTACTTTCTTACATTTGGAATTTCTTCATACCAGATCACTTTTTTGTTCAAATGTTTTCCCACCTCCTACAACCCCAGATTTGGTCATCCCATGCAAATTTCAAACTCTTTTTTCAAAGATAACAATAAAAAAAAACTATGAAGATATTGGATTCTTGTGCCATTACAAACAAAGAGTGAAGGAATAGGTGTTTTTTTTTTTAAATTGTAAATGTATATAACAGATATTGCATACAAAAAACTCATGTTGACTGAAAATGACTTGCCACCAGTAAAAGAAAAAAACAATCTCGGGGTGAATAATTATAATTTAACCATCCTTTTCATGGAAATTGGATTTTGTTTTAAAGGAAAAAATTCATGCAATTGTTAAGACATGGAGTTCTTTAACCAATAGAGATTGCCAACACTGCAGCCTGTCAGTCCAGGCCCTGGGATCTATTTCTGCAATCTTTATGGTGTCAAGTTTATGGGTTTAAGGACCCAATTTGGGTTGTGGTTGTTTTAGGGGAAAAAACAGAAATCTGTGATTTGTTCTCAAATGCACAGTACCTCTGCTTCAGTTTACTGATCTTACACCCAACTCAGAAAGTTAACACCATGAATCAACAAGAAAATATGTCTTGTTTAAAGTTGAATCTAATCCTTTCCATTCAAAAAAGCTTGTCCAAAAGAGTGCCATGGTGCAATCCACAGACTGGTCTTACAACCACAGCCTTCCAGGTATATTATTATTTATTATTGGAACATGAACCAAGTGTACAGTTTACAGTTTTCCCATAGTGAATGTGTATGCAGGTAAGTGGGTGGGTGGGAGTAATGCATCTCAAATACAAAGAAATGACCTAATACATCCCAATGTATTGAGACTCCATTCCATACTCAAGCTGGGTTTTTTTGTCCTCACCCCATTTATTGAGTGTTGTTGTGTGTGGGTTTTGGAGTGAGTGAATGTGACCCAACTGGGGAGTGGTTCCAAGACCAAGGATGATGCTGAAGAAGGAGATGAGAGAAGAACTGCAGTTGCCCTTTCTTTGTGGGTGTGGTGAAATATGATCTTGAAGAAGATGAGGTTTCCACTGACTGGGCTTTTTGGAGTTTTTGTGGCTTCCACTGTCCAAAGCTTGTGCTCTTCAACTGGATGGTCTTTGGTGGCCTTGGATGGTCAGAATTGCAAGATATATGTGGCAAGTTTCCATCACCATGTTTGTCATCCCCAACTTTGTATTCAGCATTACTCCACGCATGGCAGTGGGGAGACATACAGCAATATGAGTTTTTTCTTTCATTCTTTCTCTGTAGTGGCTGCTCTTCCACCACTGAACATTCTGATAAGATGTTATCCAATCCCTGTCAATCCAAAATCTTTACTCATTAAGTACAGTTCACAGGGTTTTTATTTGTTTTACATTTTGTTGGAAGTGCTGCATTAGCAAGTGGATCAAAAAAAACAAAATAAAAATAAATAAAAATAAATAAAACTGCAACAACTGGACCTGGTGAGGAAGGATCTCAACAGGATGTGAGGATGTGGAGGTGCCACAATTCTTCTGTCCCCTTGTGGGTTGGCATTTTAGGGTTTCCTAATATCAGTGACATGGAACCTCCCATTGCACTTTCCTTGATGGAGAGTACCTTTCCACACTACATCATCCTTCCCCACTCACTCCCTGGCTACATGCCTGGCATCCAGGTTCTGAAAGGATTCTACTGCATCCAAAGCTCAGTCTAAAAATGGGCACAGATCTGTCTGTATGTGGAAAGGCACATGTGTGGCCCTGGAATGCCATTCCTTTATGCATCAGATTCTTCACCCCTTTGCCCCACCCCCCCCCTGCACCTAACTCATTCATTCAGCTTATGCTTCCATGAGGACAAGGAGGAGGATTGGGCTCAGTTGTTGGGGAATATACCCCTGATCCCACTGGATGTTTATCATCCAGTGGACAGAGCTCCATTGTCCATGGGGAACTGCCTTCACATGAAGTGGATGCCGATGAATGCGTGGATGGATGAAATACTGCTAGTAGGAGAGATAAGGGGGAATGCCTGCCCATAATCTCAGAACCCTTTCAAGGATTGAAGGGTCCATGGCGTTGCCCCTCCTGCTGCCCCCCCCCCCTGCCCAGGTGACTGCCTGCCCCAAAATAACATTTCTAGTGCATATTAAAAGTATGTCTTGGGTGACCAGTTTGATTCCAATCCAAGGCAGAATGAAGAATCTGACGAATTCAAAGCTGCCCTTGCAATAAACATCTGATGATTCTATTAGACGTTTAAATTTAGAGAGAGAGAGAGAGACAAAAACAATGGGGCTCAACTTAGACATATGAGTTATTGAACTCAAACCTTAGTAGACCTTCATCAATTGGGTTGTTGAGTGTTTTCTGGGAAGACAATGGGTTGTAGTTTACTTACTATTATATTTTATTTCCAAATGACAAGTTTAAATTTTCATGGATAAAAAAAAAATTGAGTACATAATATCACTATATTCTCACAGGCCAAGTTTTCAGTTCTACAAAAGAAATATGTCAACACTACAGTTTTAAGTAATTTTGAAAAATGTATGGAATTTGCAAATAATATCTTTTGTTTGTTTACTACCTTTGTGGTCTTTTAGGAGTTTGAACAATCTTTTAGAACCTTCCATGAAATTTTAAAACTTATACTTGTTTTTCGAAATATTTTATTAATTTTTTACAGTGTTTTAAAAGTTTTCATATAAGGTATTTTAAAATTACGGTTGATTCTTCAATCTCAAATCCTATTTTGAAAGGTTGAGTAAAAACTAATTGCTATTTTAGTATATTAGTCTTGCCAATATAAATTTAAAATAAACACAACTATTGCTTAATTTATAGTTTGTACCTAATTTTTCTTTGTATTTAGCATCTCGTCCTTTTACACTTTTTGTACTTCCTGAATTCTTTGTCCTTTGTTCTGGTTTCATTGACAAATTAAGAATACTTCTATTTTATTTTGTGCAATCAAGTTTTTTATCAGAAAAATAAAACATCCTTACACATTGAACTATGTTTTAAGTGATTTTCATAGAAACAACCAATATGATAGTAAAGAAGATAGGTTATTCATCCATTCATTTTTATTTTGATTCATTTCTATATATATACTAGCATATATTTTTCACATAGTGTTCTTTTCTTAAAATATTAACAAATTCATAAACACCGTAAAATCTATTAAACTATAACGTTAAAATTACTACTAATATTAATTTTGAATACATGGTGAATAAGCAATCATAACAGATGTACAGACACTGTAAATGTCAAAAGTATATATTTTTTTTTATGTGAACTTCAAAAATAAAAACGTATTATTATCAATTTCAGAATGTTTTTTTAATTATTAAGAAATCTTAAAGTTTTTATATTTCTTACTAATTTAAGACAATAATATACATATATGTATTTATAATTATAACTCAATATCGTAAATAACTTATGTAAATATAATTTTGACTCCTGATTGATTGATTGATATATATGCATACATATAATAATTATAATAATTATTTGAATTTAGAATGCTTTAAAATTAATTACTAAAAAGGATATCATGAGGTCATCATAAATATATATATATATATATATATCCATTAATTGCAATTAGATCACAATATACCAAGGTGCTGTTTAAGGGATAATTAAATTTCAATTTTGAAATTTAATGTTTTTATACTTTATTCATAGTTATAATTATAAAAATAAAATACAGATAAATAAGTTAATTAGAAATATTATTTTATTACTAATTATACAGATGTGTGATAGGTATAAAACTAACTATACATTAAAAAAATGTATAATTATAAGTAAGATTAGTAAAAATTACAATTTGTGATATTAAGGTCTTTATTTAATATTATGATTTTTAATCATTAAAAAAATGTTTCTATATAATCAATACATCTTTTGTTTACATTTTAAAACATATATTTATTATTTAATGTAAATTACTTTAAGTTACTTAGAGTATAATTTAAATAATATATCACGGTAATTTTGTGTTGTGTTTTGGGGTTGTTTCAATGTATTTTGTAATGGAAGAATTTAAACTTTGGAAAATTAATTATACATAAAAAAATAAAAAAATCTTTCTTTATAGCTTTGTAGTAAAGAAATATATATATATATATATATATATATATAGAAAGAGAGACTCCCAACATTTCAAAATACTACAAATTAATCTTGAATAAATAATTTATTTTTAAATTAATAATTTTCTAAGAATATATATATATATATATATATATATATACAAATAATCTTAAATATGTTTGTCAATTTATTATTATTAAATTACTTAGTCTTTCAGAAAAGTATTAGAATGATGTGTATTTGTGTGTGTATATATATATATATATATATATATAAGATATTGTGAATTTCTCATTTGATGAAGTTAAAACCACAACAAGAAAATGTATACTTGCTTCATTTTAATTAGAGCACATGCAAACATTACAATTGTTTTTCTTGTAAGGTACCTATAAAATATAATATATTAAATAATATTTGAGTTTTTAATTTTTAAAATTATTTCATTATAAATAAATAAGATTTTATATAGGTAATTTTAAAAATATATAAATTCTAAATCATCAATAAATATACGAAGTTGTAAATAATATTGTTGAATAATCCTCAAAACTAAAGCAAATGACATATTTTTAATGTCATCGAAAAGACTTTCAAATATCATATTTCTTTGAGCACTTTTAACAAATTCTAATGTTCTATTTTAGTTTTTATTTTTATTTTTAGATTGCTTCAACCTATAACCATGTTTTGAAGTTATTTTTTTACACATTCAAACAATATAATTAAAGTCATTGTAGAATATGTAAATAATTTTTGTGGTAAGTTACAGGTTGATTATTGATAACCTTGAGAATTAGACTTATGGTTATGTAGTTTAGTTGGTAATAGTAGGTTGTTAGTGGAACAAATGGTTAAGAATTCAAAGGTTCATAACCTTTGGAATCTGTTGGCCGACGATCCATCTTTTGGTAGGATAAAGAGGTTGAGAAAGGGAGATCGAGGCCAGACTATGATAGTCATAAGCAGGGATAAGCTTAGTGCTACCTCTTTGTTTTCTTTGCTTTTATTATTTTCTTATGAAGAATTGTGATTGAGAGAAGTATTGTTGAAACTATGATTAGAATATTGTGGAATATGACTTTGGACTGATCGTTTTGGAGAAAATTTGTGACCTTGAGAATTGAGATTATCGAATTGTGTTGTGTTAAGTGAAGATATTGAATTCTATGTGATGAATTGAGAAACTGAATATAATAAGTAAGCTAGAGATCAGTAATTGAATATCTATAAAGTGCAAAGACAGTAAGTGAGAGATGAATTGATATGAATATGGAAGTATTGTTGAATTGATATTCGTAGAATGGATTATGTGTTGAATTAAGACGAAAGTAGTAAGCCTTGGTGTTTTGTAGTTTGATAATTGATTTTAGACAGCTAAAGTACAGTCAATTGTGACATTAACAGACCCAATATATATAACCAATCTTTCCCCATGTTCGAACCCACCTCTATTAGTTCAATTGCTTTGGTATATTGAAGCTTGAACACAATGAGAACAACAGTCATTATTGCAAATAAATTCCAAATAAAGTGGCATAACAAGATATTGACTTGCACCATTACTGTATACATTATATTATTTTATTCCAATTTCAGAGATATTGTCTACAACTTCTTATATAAAAGGTGCACTTAACCTTAAAACTTTTATGTTTTATTTATTTATTTATTTATTTATTTATTTATTTATTTATTTATTATATAAATATTAGGTAAATATATATTAACATTAATATTATTATAATTTTAGAAAATATACCCCTTGTATTAACAAAAAGAGTACAACAATAGATTATTTATAGAAGAATATTTAGACTTTTGAAAACTATTGCAATTATTAATGATACAAATATAAACATACATATTAAAAATGTATATTCTTATACACATCTAAAATAAAATTAAAAAAATATAAAAAATGAGATAAAGAATATTTGCAAGAAATAAATATAAAATAATATTTATTGCTATGTAAAAATTATTAAAGAGTCTTAAATTGGGAGTGAAATAAAAGACAAAGTTGAACAAGAGTACACATGGCCTTAGACTTAGACTTACTCCCACATATAATAGATTAATAGATGACTATGTAAATTTTTTAGATAGTCATAAGGCTTCCATGCCAAGTATCCAAGTTACAATACACTTTTATGATAGCTTTATAAAATTAGGTTACTTTTTTGATAAGTAATTCTTCCTACATAGCTCATTTAAAAATCCAATTCATATTTAAAAATATTTCTTGAAGAAGATGATATTTTTATTTATTATTATTTTATATCTACTTGATTAAATAGTACAAGAAGTTGTATCAAAAAATTATTTAAATTTAAATAATAATAATAAATTATTTTAATTATACATAAAATTTCTAAAAATATTATTTATAATTCCTTATATTATTGCAACAACATAGATGTATACTTTTTAGACTAACAACAACATTGCCAATTTTTTTTTCAATAGTTTTTTTGGAATAAAAATAAAAAATTGACCAATGTTAAATTTGGTTACCACAATGGCAATAGAACTCAATATAAACTTGATTTCTATTCAATCAACAAATAACTTAAGTCAATGACAACTAATGTGTATATGTTTTTAGTATATATATATATATATATATATATATATGTGTGTGTGTTTTTTTTTTCTTACTTATAAATCTTTAATATTTAGTTCGTCAATTTTATATAAAAAGTTCTATCAAGAAAACACATAAAAGTGATTTATTTAATAAAATCTTATCAATGCATGTCACATTATTCAAACAAATAAATATAAAAGAACTATTTTTTAAAACAAGTTATAATTATATACTTTTATAAAATTATTTTGATTTACTTTAATTTAGTTATTTATTCTTAAATTTTTGTTTTTTTAAAATTGAGATACCAATGATATTATTCTTCTTGTTCTATCAAAGCTTGTAAGACACACATCAATTGTTTTGAATTTTTTTTACTAGTATAGCAATCAAATAAATGGATTTTTATTAGATAATGTTTTTGTTAAAATGACCTCAAATAAAAATTAATATAAAATATGTTAATAAAATATTATTTTAAAAGTTTAGTTGTCCAATATATTAAAGAAGAGATATTTTTTGGCACTATAATTAATAGTCAATATAAATATAAGGATATTTATAAGGATGGTGGAATAATCACTATTGATATCAATAGGTTGGTCTTGCATGTCTAAGTTTGGTATACTAAGGCTAAACTTCTCTAAAATTTCTTTTATGTCATTTTCAAAAAAGTAATTTATAATTATCTTGTTGATGATGTATATCCAATGAAAAATCAAAAGAATTCTTAATAAATAAATGTATTTTAATATGATGTTTTTTATAATTATTATTGTGAAGAAAAAATATCTTTATTTTGTTAGAAAAAACTATGTAGTTTAGTTACTTCATTTGATGCATCTTTTCTGTATGACATATAGATTACAAACTAGAAGAGGAATATACTCATGGTTCTTAATAACCTTGTGCTTACAATCTTTATTGTTTTTGCAAAAGAAGGCGGCATAATTTATGCATTATGCATACACAAATACATTACAATATTGAGGTGGACATTAAAATAAATTTTATATGCTATTTTATAATCATATGTAAATGATAATGGAGTATTACCTTTCTCCTTTGTATACATCATTTTACTAAGGACCATTTTTACAAATCTATGTGATAGAAATATTATTTAAAATTATATAGCGAGTGAAATCAACTATTTTGCTTAACTTTGAAGTATTTAAATTTTGGAAGGATTTGAAAGCTACTTGCAATACATTATGAGATAATATATACAATTTAAAATTTAAAATATGCTTAAATTAAATATTTTTATTATTTTTTTTACTTTTATAAACATGAAATGATTTTATTTGAAATCAATGTTTTCCCTTCAAATATAAAAAAGTTGCTAATATTTTAACATCTGAACATTAATACAAGTTTCAACGGCTGAGATCTTCAAATCGAAGACAACCGGTTCACACAATAAATTACCGGAATGGCCGAAAACCTAAACGCGTTCACACAGACTCTCGTCCGTATGGACAAGGGGATGAATTATACTCTTGTTCACACTGCCATCTTCCGAAGCAGAGGGAGCGTTGATTCAAGTTGGCGATGGGGAACGTGAAGTAATCTGGAGCTCAGTGCAGGCTTGGGGTTTTGGGTTTTCTAAGTGTGGCGAGCTGTGGATTGCAACTCGGAGCAATCCTTTGTAAGCGGCGAGAGAATGCTTTTTTGATTAGGAAGGTGCGAGAGAGAAGAAGAAGTTCTTGTGGAGTGGAGGAAGCGAGAGAGAGAGCGCGAGAGAGCGAGAGATTGAGAGGACTGTTTGATAGAGAGGAGTGACAATGCGGCGGGAAGCATGGGGCGCCATGGCCAGGTTGCGTCGGATGCAGCAGCAAAGTGGCAGGGAGCGTTCGCTGCTGCAAGGCCACTCTCATCTCGTAGGTACTTCATCTTTCTCTATTGCGCTGCCCTAGAAATGGAGCCACGTCGTTTGAATCATGAAGAAGGCTTATCGTTGTTCACCTCTGATAGGGTTTTGGCAGAAGCGCGGATACTTTCGGACGATTTCCTCGAGTTGAGCAATTAGGAGTTGGTTTGTACATTTCTGTCTCTGAGTAGTGTACCACACATTGTTGGAGCTCGATTTTAAGTAACGTGGTTCCTCCTGTAGGTACTGCAGGATGTCACTCTGCATTCTAAGCTACCTTGATTTCGCAGTGTTATTTTTGAAGAGCGAGATTCGTCGTTTTATTAATTATGAGATTATTATAATCAACAGGTTCGCAGATCGCGTGGCTTTTGAAAATTACCGGCGTGCTACGAAGAAAGAGTTTTTTTTTTTTTTTTTTTTTTTTTTTTTTTTAGGAGTATTGTCGCCCATGGATTCAATTGAAACCTAAACCATTGCGAAGTAGAAATTAGATGGCCTCGCTAGATTCGTGCGTGAATGAGGCATGTCAAGAGGATGAAATCTTCAGGTTATCGCTTCTTGAGTAAGATATGCTGCCAAGCGCTTTTGAATTTAATTGCTTCTTTTCAGAGGAGACTAGTAACGAGCACCTTTGGACATACATTACATAGTGGTAAGAAAATTAGTCTAAGTTACTCGAGCTGTTTTGAAAGGGTGACCGATTGTGTTGAACCGTTTGTGGACATTGCTGAACTGTTCAATATTTCTATGGCATCTGAGCAGGTGTGAATGTGAGCCATCAATGAGTAACGTCTAAACCAGCCATTGCTGATTGATCGCAAGCTCTTGTGCTTGGAGGTGGATTTAGTGTTTGGTGTTGAGATTTGGGCGTGTCATAGATCATTTCGGGCCTTAATAATATTGCTACCTGTTTGATCTGACTGCCATTTGTGCCTCTATTTCCTGAAGGCAGCCTTTGGAAGAAGTTCTTTATCAAAGGCCTCGGTACCCAATCATGCTCATTACTCGTCATCGACTGCAAGCACCACGGAAGAAGAAGTTGTGATTGCAATCGGCAGCAATATTGGGGATAGAATTGCGAACTTTAACCGTGCCTTGGAGCTGATGCGTGCCTCTGGCATCCAAGCCATTAGACATGCTTCCTTGTATGAAAGTGCCCCGGCTTATGTCACCGACCAGCCGCTCTTTCTAAATTCAGCAGTGTCAGCCATCACAAGTCTTGATCCTCATTCACTTTTGAGGACGTTGAAGGACATTGAGAGCGAGCTTGGCCGCACGTCTGGGGGTATAAGGTGTGGGTGTATTTCGAGTTCAACTCAGTTTGTAGCGTGTGAGTAATATAGTTCCTGCTTAGTATAAACTTGTAGCTCGAGAAGCAGTTATTGCTGCCGAGTAACTGGAAAATTTTGTTATTATATTTCTATATTTCCAACAGCCCTCTATTATTATTTCACAAACAGATTATTTTTTAAGAAACATTTCTGCCTCTTGTATTGGTACATTGTTAATGATTGGTGCGAAAATATGTTAGATCATGGTTCTCTTCATAGCATGACAAGTTTGTGAAGTTCTGCATATTGTATTTATGGCCGTCTGTTTTTTCAGGTATGGCCCCAGACCTCTAGATTTGGATATCATTTTTTACGGGAACCGCTCTGTGACCACTGAGACATTGGAAATTCCTCATGCCAGATTTCTCGAACGTCCTTTTGTCTTAGCACCATTGGCAGATCTTCTCAATGATGCAGGGACAAGGTCAACATCTCACTGGTCTAATCATAAACGCTGTGATGGAGGGGTTGCACAAGCCTGGAATAAGATGGGAGGGGAGGCCTGCATTGGAAACGAGGACCTGCGAAGAGTGATACCAGTGGGTAATGAGCTGCTGGACTTGTCAGCTAAGACACATGTCATGGGCATATTGAACGTTACTCCAGATAGCTTCAGTGATGGCGGACGGTATGCCTGAACTTCAATTGCTTTCTCATTTTCATGGTGTTCTATTTGCTTACAGACGCACAGAAAACAATAAGTTTAGATTGGAGGCAACATGAGTGGTTTGTGTGTGACAAGAAGGCTCCTCTTCTCCTTCTATCGGAGAGTCAGGCACGTATACTTTATAAAACACAAATTTGGGGCGTCTTTAAATATGTTGTATACAGTCGTTGGATGATGGAGTAATTTTTTGATAGGTTCATGGCTGTGGAGGATGCTGTGGCACATGCTCGTTCGATGGCTGCTGAGGGGGCAGATTTTATTGACATTGGGGCTCAATCGACTCGTCCGGGAGCTACAAGACTTTCTACCGAGGAAGAGCTTTCTCGTCTCGTGCCAGTCCTGGAGGCCTTGACTGCCGATTCTGCCTTGAAAGGTGTAAAACTGTCGGTAGACACATTTGATGCAAGGTGTGTAATACCTGTGCTTACGCTCAAAGTTTCAAACCATGACATGTTTCTTATGATTTGAGCTTTTCTCCTACTTCCCTGGTCCTCCAAGTTACAACTGTAAGGTTGTACCAGGATCTTGACTTGAAACATGATTTTAAAGGTCATCGGACTGCCGGTTCTTGTCACAGTCATTGAGATATAAAATAAATCTGCTCAAGTTGCATTCGATCTTTCTGCAAAACTTATGCTTAGCTGTTTAATGGTAACGTACTCGTAGGGTTGGCCGTGAGGCTGTAAAGATGGGAGTACATGTTGTCAACGATGTATCAGGCGGTTCCCTAGACTCCGAGATGCTGTCGACAGTGGCGGAGCTCGGGGTCCCTTACATCATGATGCATATGCGAGGGGATCCCACCAATATGCAGAGCAAGGCGAACACAACCTACAGCGACGTGTGTGAGGAAGTCGGGAAGGAACTAAATTCTCGAGTTGTTCAGGCTGAAGCAGTCGGCGTCCCTGCATGGCGTATTATCACAGATCCCGGTATCGGGTTTTCCAAGACTTTACCGCAAAACTTGGATCTATTGAAACATCTTCCCGTTGTGAGGAGAGTGCTTTCAGAGAGTAGTTGTACTGTTAGTCGGGGTCCCATGCTTGTTGGACCTTCTAGAAAAGGATTCCTAGGGAAGATAACGGAACGTCAAAAGGGTGAGGATAGAGATGCTGCAACGGTTGCTGCTGCAGTTGTAGCTGCCATAGGTGGTGCTAATATTATAAGAGCACATAATGTGCGGGCTGTTCGAGATGCTATGAAAGTGGTAGATGCAATTTACAAATAATCCTGTCATACCATCTTCTCTCTGGCGTAGAATATTCTTTGTAAGCTACAGCTTAAAGCAACCACCACTTTAATGCATGACATCATATTTTGTCACGCACTTAAAGCTTTTGTATTTTGCTTCTGCTCCTTTTTCTTGTGATACTTCTAAATTGTTAGTTACTAACCCTACTTTTCTTAGAGTGTTAATTAAGAAGGTGGGTTCTAACACGCACAAGTGTAGCTTACGGTTGGTGATGGGGTTGATGATGATGCAATTCAACCTCGCAGGTGAAACTAGTAACTATTTGAGGACATGGAATACAAATGTAGCTCTTTATGTTATATGAGAACGTTTTGGTCTCACGATTAAATCTATTAATTAAGATATTTGTTTACTCTTGCAATGACAACTTTGCTACGGTTCATGGTTTATGAAAGGCCTTTAATTCGCATTCTGTCGCACAGAGTGTCGTACTAAAGTAACCTGATCAAGAGTCTTTCCTGTGACAAAGTGTAATTCAATCTGTGAATTGATTGTGTGCTGTATCGGCACGATGGAAGAGATTTTCAGAATACAAGTCCAAAATTCAACAGCTTCCACCATTGGACATGACTGAAAACTATCGTCATGAAATTTGAGATTAGGGATGAGTACAATGGATTAATTTTCCAAAGTAGAACACAACAATTTCATGGAGACTTTGACGAGGAGCGTCACAACTTGATATCTGGTGAATACAAGAAATTGCGTTCAATGCTAACATGAAGGAAAATACAATTATGGTGTTTTGATGAACTGTTATTTTGTCAAATTAAAGATCATTCATCTTTGAAATTTACACTGGGAAAAACTGAAATGGAGGATTTTGTATTTTTATTTTGGATGTTTTGGAATTTCGACTTTCAAAACTGTGAGTCCTTTTTCTTTCGTAAATGTTTTGTGCCACACTAAAATTTTCATTGATGGATTAGGAATCAATGTGGTACATATGAACAGTTCTTACAAAAAGAAAGGTTTAGTTATTATAAAGAAGGTACTAATCCGATTATCAGTAAACACTCGTGTGTTGGTTGTGGATTTTCTAAAATATGAATGGTTGGAACTAAAAAGTCTGCAACATTTGAAATTCTTAGTGCATTGAAACTGCTTTGTATTTGATGCGTATAACGGTATCATTGCCATGAGCTGGGCATTGCGGAGGTGGTGATGCTACTGGCCCGGAATATTTTGTGGTTTAAAAGCAGGAGGGATTGTTTGCTAGTTTGTCTTACCTGCTTAGTTTCGAGATCTGTGTGTTGAGAGTTTGACATTGTTTAGCCAGTACTTGTGAAATGATCATACATACGAAGATAAGTTTTGAAGCTTTGAAAACCCTAAACCTTGTCTGTCAATGATATTTCGTGCCACACACAACTGTCAAGCACACAATTGCGAAACTTCTTTGATGACAACTGTACTAAAGCAATTAAGGACCTTCGTATGTGAATTCAAATTAGCTCTTAATTACCGGGCATGGATGTGTGAGCCGAAATGGAGGATTTGGGAGAACAGACTGAGCGGCGGGCTACAGCGTGAGTTCGACGTGCAGGGCTTGATTGATGAAGGGTTTACTACAGTCCTGTTCTAAATTCAGGCTGTAGACAACATCCAGCGTGAAACCAAGTCATGAACAAAGTGGCGCAGAGTTGCAGATACGACGAGAGGGGTCCTGTTCCCTGTTTGCTTGTAAACTCACACGGCCTGGTTGGTTTCGTCTTAAAAATCAAGTTACTCGTGGGAGAAGAGAGCACCATTGTAAACACAACAATAAGCAAGTAGTATGTCACAGCCTAGAAACGGCATTGCCAACCTTATTGTTAAGCACAATCACTTCTGGGGCATATCCTTCCGCTATATGTCCCATTGTTCCGACTCACATCTCATATGAAACCAAGGATTCTCTGACCTGAGTGGCAACTAGTCTGGAACGGAGTGATTGCACATACCCCTGTTTGGTCGATTCCCAACACAGTAGCTCTGTCACTCACTGGGTGTGCCCCTTCAATCATGCTGCCGCACCAATATTCTACTTCCGGTCGGCCTATTCTCCATTCCATGAACAGTTACTCCACAGTTCCTGCGATTCTGTGCAGTCTAGCTAACCAACATCAGATGTGAGCAGTGTCTCAACAACTCGTGATTACTCTATTGTCTTCAAATCCTCGATGGGTTCACCTCACCCCCCTCGCGTCTCCAGATTAAAACGAGCGGTTCTGAGAAGTCGATGCTCTTCTCAACTATCACCATCCGCGAGGAGCTACATCACAAGCAGCATTGTGTAGCAACAAGGCGACGAATTGGGTCGTCTCGGAATGGATTACTCTTTCCATTTCCCTCAACTCCCATTGCGTGACGACCACGACGACACAGTTCGCTAAAGCGGTTGAGCCTTTTTGAATTTTGAAGCCAGCGACATTCTCAAGATGCCGCGCTGCAGGTGGATGGATGTTTGAACGAAAGTTGTTGCATGGGTCCAGTGACTTCGATGACATTCGTTGCGATGGAATTCGTTGGCTGAGCCACTCCGTTCAGCGTTTTTCGTCCACAAGTATATTTGTTAGGGTATTAAAGATGCTAAAGTTTATATATATATATATATATATATTCTTATTTAGTGGAATTTTTACTAAATCAACCCACATAGGATAAAGAATATGGTAATCATGATGAATGTGGTTGGTTTTATTGGTTGTAGATCTAATAGTAGAGAAATAAATCTAGATGTTATTTTTATTTGCATGATGGTTAGGATGGGTGGTTTGATTCAGTAAAAACTTGGGTCTATTATAAATTCCTATATATCTATTGTACTTCATTCAAAACCTTAGTGGATGGAAATTTTATAAATTATGCAAGGTTTTATAATTTGTGTGAAGTCATGAAATTTCATAGTTTCTAAGTCATCACATATATTTTCTCAAACAACAATATCCAAAAGCTTCAATCTTATTTACAACTCCTTGTGTCACCATTTCATTCATTTGCAACCAAATCCAAATGTAACCAAATTCTTCTTCTATTATTAATTACATAATTCACAAATTCTAAGTCTTTTTCCAATTAATATCAATCAATCCAAATTGCACTTGCAAAGCATTAACTTGTGATTTGCACTGTGGCAGATGCTATTACATGCAACCATTTGTTATTGGTGATTGCAAGCATTGCAAAATTCTACAAATAGTCAAATAAAATTTGAATATTTATGCAAGTTGCACCAAAAGAAGCAAGACAATAGAAACAACCTTCTACTAGTATAATCAGTAGAAGATGATGTACTTGTGATGACTAATAGCAATCTACAAGAATGCATTATAAGTAGGGCTCATTGAATACAATATCAACAAAATTTAAGGTGGTTTTGTAAATATTCATGCATGAAAAGGATGCAAGAGACTAACCATATTAATCTCTATAGATTGATCATGCAATAATCTTAAATTCAAACAAAAATATATCAACATTATAAGAATTAAAACTATAGTTAATTCAAAATCCAAAAAAAAATAACTAACTTGAATATATATGATTAAAGCCTCATTGGCAAGCCTTGTAGGAAGTAATTGTATAATTTTAGAATCAACACATGGTTGTCAAATATTTCTTATATAAATTAGACAATTTCACATTATTTTTTAATAATTATGCAAAAAAATAAGGTTATAAGTTTATAAGCTAAAAACAATCTCCTTTCTACAAAACATTATAAGTAAGGAATATTACTCAAAGGGTATAAATTAAGTAAGGAATATGTATATATATATATATATATATATATATATATATAATTTTTTGCTTAAAAATTGGAGTCCCAATTTATAATCTATGGTTGTTTTTTTATCAATAAATAAATAAATAATAATATATAATGAATTTCATCTTTTAAACTATTAAACGTATTAAAAAATATTTAAGGATTTTTATCTTTAAAAATCTAAGATTTTTATTAAATAATTACAAATTAAAATTAAAAAAAATATTTTATTTTATCATTTAATTTATAAAGTAAGATTCAAATATGCATTTTTAGTTCTATCTGAATATTGGTAAATTTTTGTGGCACATGGGTTTTTTCTCTAATTGTATTCAATAAGAAAGTAATGCCCTACTCTAATAAGATTAATAAAAACTTGATGTAGAAACTATAGCAATAGCTTTTAGAAATGACAAAAATAATCAAAAGAGCTAAAGCCAGGGTGATAAAAAAATAGACCAAGATTATAAATTGTCATATTTTTGTTTAATGTTCTTATGTATACAGTTGTTTTTTATGTTCAAATGTAAAATTTATAAATATTATTTTTTACATGCATTTTATAATAAATGAAAAAAATTATTCAAATTAAAAAAATATTGTTGAAATTGATTAAACATTTTACATGAGTTTCTAATCAAGTTAAGATTTTAATAGACAAATAATTTTGTTGTGAAAAAATAGACGTTAATAACAAGCCCTTTTGAATTGAATGCATTTCGATAATTGGAGGTCTAAACAATAGAGATTGAAAATATTTATAAAATTTTACTTTATAATAGTATTCATAAATTTACGAAATAAATTCAATAAATTAAAATTAGTTTAAAGTTAAATTTTTTAGTAACTTAAGATAAGTTGTCTCAACTAGAAATCATAAAAAATTATTTGAATTAAATTTTAATTTAGATATTTAAATATAAATTCACTTACAGAATATCTAACAATCGTATTGGAATACTAGCTAAATGGAAAATCTAAATCACCTGTTAAGCGAGAAAATCTACATGAAAAATAAATATTCAAATGGCAATTGAAGAAGAACTGCATCACATGAAGTTTTTATAACATGAGGCTAGCAAATAGATTTCTCACTAATCTAATGCATACATATATATACATATATATATGTAGTAAGGGAGATGGACTTGTGGACCCGGCCATCCAGCCACAAATTTTGTCCCACCCAGCCCGCGAACTGATTAGCCCATAATACCATTCGAACTTGCACGACCCCGAGGATCTGGTCCCACCACAGGATCGCTCTAAGCCGACGGCCTAGATCGTGCGATGAGAATCGATCGGACGGACACCAGGGCGGGGGGGAGCCTGACTATCATCGCAGGAATTCAAATTGTACATTCGCTCCATTCGGGTGAGTCATACGGGGCTGGGCTGCATCTACGCACTCTCCCTTCCTCCCTCCCTCCCTCGCTCTTCGCCCTGTTCCTTACTGCACGACGGTGGAACACACTTATGTGGGTCATCAAGCCCTAATTCAATTGGCACCGGATCGGCCTCCCGTCTACGCGTCCTCGTTTCTAAGGCCGTATCAGTTGTGGGTTTTGGTGGGTTCATTCGTGATTCAATTCGTGGTGGCTGTTTTGTTGGGTTGAGATTTCGGGGTGCGGAGGTTGGAGGGAGGGAGGAGAGAGAGAGAGAGGAAGAGCGCGCGAGACAGTTTCCGGAGATTAGCGGAGGGATTTTGTGGGGATTCGTGAAGATGGAGATGATATTGTATACGGAGGTGGAGATGGTGTAGGAGAATGCACGTGTCTTTGCAGGATGGCAATGACAAAGTCCTCTATTGGAATTGAGAGTTGTGAGAGAGCTGTGAGAGCTGTAGATGTGAGCTCCCTTTGGAATGAGTCCATTGCAGCGTGCTTCGGGTGATTGGTGTAAAATTGCGAAATCAGAGCGTTGTTGGATTCTGGGTGGTCTGGGTGGAGGTGTCTGGTTCTTGACCGTATCTCTGTGTGTGTAGCAATTTGATCGTGCGCTGGAGAGGGATTTGCTAGTTTTTCGCCAAGCTTAGTTTGGAAAGAGTTGGTTGATTATAACTAGAACTTATTAAGAGCTATGGTTCACCTCTCTGTTTTTTGAAATTTTCGAAGCCATTTTTTTGTTAGTCGATGGGATCTACGATAGCACATGGCGGTCTAGGTCAAGTTTTGCTGCTTTTGAGCTTTCAAGCAAGGTCTTCTTTTGGTTTGTTCAAAATTGGCTTCGCTTTCTTCGGCTTCCAATTTGTTTGTCTTTCGAAACTTACTACATTTTTGACATGTCAATGGATTCAAGTTCTCATTATTCTTCTTTTCCTCACAAATGACGACACAAGTCTGTTACGAGGGCTGAGTGTGTGCTTGTGAGTTATTCTTACTTCGGAGCCTGAATCTCGAGGGTCTTCATGTTTCTGTTGCGCGCATCGCGCGTTTCCTATTTTTGGTCTTATAACTAGTAGAGGCTTCCCATCTCGTATTTTTGTTGTTGATGGTATGCCGCTGCATTATTCTGATGCAGTCGATAGAGAAAGTCGCTGGTAGAACCGGTGGCTGTTTTCACATCCTCAGAACTCCTTCGTTTCAAGGTGTTCTCATGCAGGAGTTCTCAAGGCAGAGCTCATGGTCTAGATACGGGGCCTGTCACTTGTTGACGAACTGTGCATTAGAGCTCCATGATTTTTTCCCCTTACCAAACTGAGCTCCCATTATCTTTATCTCTTTCTTAAGATGATGACCATTCCTCCAGCTCGGGTTGACGTTTTATGACGTTCAAATTAGGAACAGAGTGGTTGTTTTATTAGATTCATATTTGAGAAAAATATCGTTGGTACTCCTATGGCTCCTGGGTCTAGTGTTTATGTGCACAACGTCATGAAGGAGAAGGAAGGGAATGGGAAAGAGAATAATCCTCAAGAAGTCATAAACTCTTCCAACGCGGGCTTGCTAACTAGCCGAGACGTCAACCGAATGGGTAACATCGATTCGAACCAACAATCATTGCCTGTACTGAGTAAGAACATGCTACCTCCTCCGAAGAAACGCCACCATTTAGCTACATGTCAACCGGCCCCAAAGGTCTTGCACACGGATTGCAAGGAAAACAGGAGTGATAGGGGTGGAAGTCTTACCTCAAGGATATCATCTCTGAGCCCTGGAACTAAGCGGAAGATTCTTGGTTATGCAGCTGATGGTAATGCCATTCTGTGCCTTTTTTTCTATTTCCGAAATTTTTTAGGAGGATAACAGATAGACCCCTAGCCAACTGTAATAATGACTCTAATTGCCCAAGAGTTTCTATAATTGGAATATCTGATCTCAATTCCTAGGATCTCCGGAACCTGTGAATAGTGGATTAAAACATGGCACCGGGAACACTCTTGTTATGGTCTCTGTCGGATGTATGCATCTTCTACCCAGCTTGCCTATTTTTTTATATTTCATGTTTGAACCATGTATTGGCCCTAGCTAACTCCTAAATTCGTACATATTTGCATGTATAATGTGCCGATAATCTCATGACTGTATTCTTATACCAAGTTTGTATTGCAGGTTCTATTCCTCCACTTCCACCACGACAAAAGCGTGTCAAGATACTTACGAAGCTCGGCAATGGGAAAGGGAAGTTGTGTACAAAGTTCTCTCGGACATCGGAACCCAGTGGGCTTCTTGGGGACTTGAAGCCTGGTATCATGAGGAAACCAACTCGAACACGGACTGAAGTTCATGCCTTACTTAGTGCTGTCGTTGGTGATCTCATAAACAGGGACACTCTGTCTGCAGTTGAGGACTTTTGTTATGAAATACAAGCAAGTGATGAGTTTCCAGATCAACTGGAAGAGCCACCTGTTGAATGTAGCGGTTCACGAAACTCAAGTGAAGAGGGTGTAGAGCATCCCGAAGGGCCAGCTCTGCAGGAATCACTTGACGCCCATATTGATTTTCCTGAACCAGTGTGTGAACAAAAGGGTGCTGAGAATCAGAGTAAATGTGCAGAAGTAGATGATGGACCCTTTGACACAGGGTTGCATACACGCAAAGGTTTAATAAGTACCCATGAGAGAACTTCTGGATTTGTACCGTTTCAAAGAAATGGACGGCATGCATGTAATCGAACTTCACCTATTTTCCCCACAGTGTCACGCTTACAGACCGCTGACCTCAGAGACCCAACTGGCTACAATCAGCAAGCTCAATTGCCTTTGAACATGAAGCAAGAGCTTGACATCACTCTGATCTCTTCTAGGGAAGCATGTACAGTTGAGGGTACCGAATGCAAGCAAGAAGATCTTGAGGAGGATACGTGTAAATATCCCTTAGACTTCTCCTCCTTAAGTGAAGGCGTCGGTTCCCTGGCACACGAGGACGGCGCACTGCTTCAACAGCAGGATTCTAAGTTACTTGTGTCAGTTGCAGGTACGCTAGACGTGTGCAGTACATCATTCTGGTAATGTCAATCGAGCTTTAAGCCGATTGTCCTTGTTATTGTAAATGCTTAATATCGCGATAATTTATGAATTGGAGATGGAGTGTTCTGGCTTTTTAAACCATGCTGGTTGTTCATTGCAGCTGCTAATGTTGCAACGTGCTGGCTGGAGCTTCTTAGTCTGGATGTCAAAGGACGTCTCGCTGGTTAGCACAAGTCTTACTTTGGTTTTACACCTGTTGCGTTGGTCATAATCCCGTACTTTTACAATTTTTTTCTCTAAATATCTACCATGTCCAAGGTAACTCATTATTGTAATTCTGCGGTTTTGTGCGCAAAGAGCTCTGCAATTGAACCTCAATTTTTGTAATGTCTCATTTGTTCCCGCTCCGGAACAAGTTGCAGAATATCACCAAGGCTCTACTTTTGTTGACGTCGATACCTCCACAGAGCCTACTTCATTTGCCTGTTACTGTGAAACTTATCAAATTTTATGTCAACCTCTCTGTGCACCGCCTGAGGCCCTATAATGACCACGGTGTGGTTTGAACTGCAGCACTCAAGAGCAGCAAGCGAAGAGTCGGAAGGGTTATTGTCTCAGGGGAACTAGATCTTGATGCGCCTTTGCTTCCTGGCGGTGCCATACCACCACCAATCCTTAGCCCGGGAGATGGGCAGCCGCTTGTGGATAACTGGAGAAAAGTGTTTGAATCTATGGATAGGGCCCTCACCATGGAAGGGCAGAAACTGGTGAGTCTTTTCTCTGAAAGAATTTCAGATCCCGTTGTTCTTCACTGTCCAGGGTTTTATCGTATCCCATGGATTTGTAGCATAGATACGTCATCCTCTGCAGAAGATTTCCTCGGTCACTTTTGGGCCCCCTACGGAATGCTCATCCTTTAAAGGAAATATCATAACTGTTGTGTGCTTCAGCCAACTTTGGTGAGGCAGAATTCGGAGGTGGGGTCTGTGCCTCAATAGAAGGTTCTAGGGAACTTTATGCCGTTTCTTCTAAACTTTGGAAGGTATATGAACTGGTACTCTTTGTTTCATTTTCTGAGCCTGTAAAGCTTTTTGGTTACTGAATTGTGTGATATATTTTTGTAGGAGAGTTGGCTCCAGCAAATTCACGTGATGCAGAGTGAGTGCCAAAGAGATATGACTTTATCCTCAAACATCAGATCTACAACTTTCAGGTATGTAGAGTGCACAATCTTTTAGGTATTGTCTCACTTGCTGCTTGTCTGTCTTGCTACGAGTACAAAACACTAGTTCTTATTTTAGTGGAGTATACTTAACGGCGACGTTTCGTACAAATCATGCAGTTTAGGGCAGTCACTTTCTCAACGTGCTTCGTTCAGCACTGAGACCGTTCCTTAAATGTTAGTCCCTTATTCATCTTACTCGTTAAATAGAGAAAACTAGATGAGAGAGAGAGAGAGAGAGAGTTGGAGGAGGAGGTTAAGTAAAGAGAGAGTTTATGTATCAGTTTTCTCTTTCAACTTTAATTGCAATGTTGATATTCGAACGGTTGATGGTAACATGGTGTTGCATGTACAGTGAGCCAACTCCTCCAAGGACGCAAGAATTTCAGCAGGTGGCCGTTCCCTTGGGTGTAGCTTCAGTGATGTCTTCCAGGAGCTCTGTCTCTTGAATAGAAGAATACTGTTAAGGACCTGGTCATGAAGCTTACAGTGTCTTGAACAGCATCATCCTTCCTTACCTTATCAGCATTGCCGTGCCTAGATCCTGCTTCAGGAAACAAATTGCAAATCATGTTGTTTGTCCGCATGTATACATTCCGTCGTCCAAACTGCCATGAGCCACAGCGTTATCCACTACTCGCGTTAAGACCCCGCAGCAGGCATTTGCTTAATCTAACTACAAGTCGGTGACGGAGTCTTTCTCTGACGGAGGTGCCAACTACTGAGGCCTCACCGGATGGCCCGAGTTGAGCAATTTCTTCTACTCAAGCTTGTGTGGTAGGATACATTATATTTTAGGATAATACGCTAATAGAAGAGGTCTCGTTCTCATTGATATCAGTAAAGTTGGTCCTTAGCAATGTACGAATGCATTCCTTTGACTTAGAATCTTCATTATCCGTGTCTGGAAATGCTGGAAGTGCGCTTGGGTACCTCTTTTTTCTCGTTGGACTACAAGAGTGTTCTCTGCAGAGTTTTTTGGCAAGCAAAACCTCCTGCAAGCACGAATGCCGTGGCAGCTGATAAATGCCAGTAATCGAAGTGATTTATAAAGATGAAAAAGATCAACATCATACTTTTTTGACACATGGAAAATGGTTAGAAAGAACCTGGTCATTGGTGAACTCTAGCTGCTGCGAAATGGACTGATGCAAAAGGATTGACACCTCACACTAAACTATGTGATGTTTGCTATGTCTGCTCTTTGTGACGGAAATCCATACTTTGCATGTGGCAACCTAGAAATTCATTCCAGTGGTGTACATGTGCTTGCTGTATAGTTGCTTTCTCAGATGGTGTGCTACAAAGTGGTACGGTTCAACGGCACAGTGGGGGTCAGGATTGCATAAAATAATTTTTCTTGACACACAGTGCGCGTATGAAAGTGTGCGGGTTGTCTTAAGTTGTAGAATCCTCGTGAAATTTTGTGATCTCACGAGGATGAAACATAAGGATTCTTTTTCAGTTAGAATATCCTCGAATAAATTTTGGTGCAAATGCGCTCAACTTCCTTCTTTGTTTATTTCACTTTATATATATATATATATAATATACTTAAATCTGTCACCTCTACGATTTCTATGGTTTCCTCACAGTTGAGATGAGTGGAGCTGTAAAGCAGGGGAAAACCGATTGGTGTCGTAAATTACCTTCACTGATATGATTTCCTGGAATGATTGCTGCCTTGGTAAGAAAAAACATGCAGACTTCGAAACGCATCGCCCGAAGTGTTTCTGCAGGGCACCATTCACTCAGAGTTGCGTCGGCGACAAACTTCCGTGAGTGTTGGGATTCAAGGGGGAGGCCGTTTGGTGAGGTCCTGCCGGAGAAATTTGCCCGCGTCCTCCCATGCTTGTAGGTGTCCAACTTGTGCTGGTTGTGTACAGTCTGCAAGGCACGGAACAATCTCATTAAGTCAATCATTAACGACACGAGGTAAAAATTCTGATTCATAATTCATGACCTGACCAGGAACTCCGCAGACTATCTCTTTGAGGTTGTGGCTGCTGATCCTGGCGTCATGAAACCAGCCTGAAGGCACCAAAAATAAGGTACATGGCTTTCAAGTTAAGGCTCCTATCGAGGAGCTTCTCACCGAGTTTGCGATCTTTCAATATTACTTGCATCACAGGCCGTGTTGACTCGAGAGTGAATGCGTAAATTCAAGGTTCGGCACAAGGTTTGCCATGTTTGATGTGAGTCCCAGCTTGTGGTACAACCAATATGGTATATTCAACACTTCTCCTCTAGAATTGGGAATTAGTTTTCTATTGAAATAAGACCTAATATATCTCTAAAATTTAGAAACTTATCTCTAAAAAGAGGTTTTGTGAAGATATCTATTGCCATCTACTCTGTGGGACAATATTTCAAACCAATCTATCATTTCTCCACACATTGGGTAATAAAATGAACTATATTCCAATGCTTTGTACAACCATGGTGTGTTAGATTTTTGGCAATAGCAATGACATTCTAATTATCCTTATAAATGAAGATCTTCTTTACCTTAGAAATGTCATAATTCTGAAGAACTTTACAAAGCCACAAAGTCTCCTATGTTGTAGTCACCAAAATTTCATAATCTACTTCTATTGACAAAAGACAAACTAATGATTACTTCTTACTTGACTAAGTGATAATTGCACCATCTAACATAAATGCATAACCACCTATTGAATGATACATCTCCATACAACATGCTCCATGTGCGGCACTATAGTCCATAAGTTGTAAATTTGATTCTTTGCCTCCATACTATAATATCAAATCTTTTGTCCTTTAAAAATAAAATAATATTTGCTTAATTCCTTGCCAATGAAAAATATATGGATAAGCCATATATTCAACAAAGTGTTGATAAGCAAATATAATGTTGTATATTGTACCATTTGCAAGGTACAATAACAAATCTAATTTTTTTTGATAAATCTTTACATGTTGTGCATCCAAAAGATTGTCATTTTCATACTTAGTGAAATGATCTTGTACCATTCATGTGGTAATTACCTTTGCATCTTTCATCTCAAATTCTTCTAATTTTCAACAAATATGTTTAATTTGGCTCAAATTAATAGTACCATTCTTCTTGTCTTATAAGAAAATAATGCAAAAAAAATGACTAGGTTCACCAAGGTCTTTCATCTTATAGTACTCTTGTAATTTATCCTTACATTTTATAAGGATCTCAAAATTCTTATCATTGATTAATATATCATTAATATAAATAATCAATATAAGGACTAATCTCTCAATATATATTGTATATAAATATGATTTGATTCTAAGCACTCTCAACTAAGATTTAATAAAGATCCATCTAAACTCTTACTTCATCTTCATCTAAATTGCTTCAAGCCATACAAAGTCTTTAGCAATTACAAAACCTTGCCTTTGTGTTCAAAAATGACTTCTAATCTTTTTGGAATCTTTATGTGGATGTTTTTTATTTTATTTTATTTTATTTTATTTTATTTTTAAAGTTTACTATTTAAATAAGTTGAAACAACATTAAGTTGAAACATATTATAATTAAAATAAAAATAATTATAATAAATATATAAATTATTATAAGATAAAAAATTGATACAAAAATCTCTTTGTAATCAATACTCTTCATTTGAATAAAATCATTTGCAATGAATTATACTTTAAAATATTCAATAGAACCATTGCTAGAAAACTTCAATTTAAAAATCTATTTTGAATCTATAACCTTCTTGCCATTCAATAAAAATGAAAACTTCTATATATTATGTTCTTTCAAAGAATCAAATTCTTCCTTTATGGCATGATTCCACTCCTTGCAAATAGTTGAGCTTATAACTTATTCAAGGATTTTTAGTTTTGCATGTTTATTAATATAATTTAAGTATGTAGTGCTTTAATTAGTCATTTTTTTTTCACATTTTTTTGATTTTTTTTATATCTTAACTTCCCAAGTCTTATAAGCAACATATAACTTGTCCTTAGTTTGAAGAAATATAAGGCTACAATAATTGGATTATTCATCAATCTACACAACTAATCATATGATACCACCAAAATTAGTTGTATCTAAATAACCAAGGCTAGATACTATTATATCTAAAATACCACTAACATGCTTGTACTTATGTAGAAAAGTCTACCTATAGGTCTTATCAACAATGCATGATTCACATATAAGTATCTTATTCTTCTCATTCTTATTCTTTAATCTTTTAATATTATTATTATTTTTTATTTTTCATATTATATATATTTAAGAATATGCTAATATTAGATACTATTCAATAAATATATGATCCAAAATAGTTAAACTAATAATTACAATAATTTCTTCAATTTTCCAAGCCATAAGATAAGCTTTACCAACTAACATGGCTTGTGTGAGTAAGTTATTCAAAGAAAGAATTCAATCAACTCCATTATCATCTAAATTGAATTTACAACTTTTCTTGTTTAAGATTGTAGCTAATAAAAGAATATCATATATTCTAAAAATATAGTGTATGTCCTTCACCACCATATGAATGTATTTTTTTTAGAATCTAAAATTTTAAATTATTTCTTATTTAAGCCTTGTGATTTGTTATTTGAAATAAGACCAATTTTTTTTCAAAAGTCTAAGATCCTTCTAATCCACAGTAATATAAAATTTCATTGCAAAATATGACAAAATGGAGAAGAACAAAACAAAACAAAAAAAATAAAATAGGACACAAAAGATAAAATTAAGTAAATAGATATAAAAAAAAAATGAATTGAATAGAAAGATGTATAATCAAATTTCAATAAGAGAAAAGGTATAAAGCCATACCTGACGAGATATCCAAAAGGTCTTGGCTAGTCTTATTTATACTTTATTTTATGACCTTAGACTTTTTGGAATGCTCCTAGATGATGAATTCTACATAGATAACTACCCTATATTCTTTCTAGAAGATTCTATAGTGGATCGTATCTAAATAACCACCTTAAGCTCTTTTTAGAATATTCTATAATAGATCCTATATAATCCACTAATCTAGTGTCAGTTTTAGAAACTTCTAAACTTCTAAAATATGATTCCAACTATCTATCTCTATGTATCAATAATATAAATGTCTTATTTATACCATGTTATAATTAATCTTCCTCCACTAATATGGAACGTCCTTGTTTTGTTCTTGATGATATCTCCAAATTTTCTTTTGGTAATGAATGAGATTCTTTGTAGATTCTCAGGTTGCATCGTGGATGGAATAACCTTTCTAAAGAACTTTGTATTGAAGTTGTGGATGTCTACTACCATAGCAAAGGTAACAATGCTCCAAAATAGTATCTATTGTATATTCTTATTGATCATCAACTACAACTAATGATGGTGGTAGTTGGTGTCAATCTAAAAAGTGCTTTGACTTGGTATGAAATTCCTTCAGTTACAAATCATAAAAGACTGGATGGACTTAAATATGTGGCAGAAGCTCAAGGTAGTATGCAACATCAAAAATCATTACAAAAATGTAGAAAGGTCTAAGCTATAAAGGTGTCAGTTTATAGATTTAGGTTGATGTAGCAAGTTGGCATTAGAGAGTAATACTTGATCACCTTTTCAAAAGATCTTGTGTTGTTAGTGGTTATCTATATATTACTTCTATTAATTTTATGCAGTAAAGAGATGATGCTGTACTTCTTATAAGGCTCTTATAAGCCATTGTATAAACTCTTTGATTATCAAGTTTTTAGTATTGATGAAATGATAAAAACTTACTAGCATAATCAAATGCTAATCGATGTTAAAGAAAAATGGTGAATGACTGATACTTGCTTGAATACTTTCATCATAAGCAAACTCCAAGGATGTCAAATATTCATCCCATTCATTATGATGAAGTATCATAAATGCCTACAACATGTCTTCCAAGGTCAAATTTGTATACTCTATTTGTCCATCTATTTGAAGATGGAAGGTTGTAAACATTATTAAAGTTATTAAAGTAAATAAGTAAAAATAAAAGTAAAATAAATTATATTATAAAGGATATTACTTTAATTAAATTGCTATTAGTTAAAAAGTTGGCTCTTGATATGTAAGAAGGCTAAGAAATAAGGTAGATGAATAG